CGGACCTCAGGCGCCACCTGGTGGCAACCTCTGGTACTAATTGGGCAGAAAAAACCAGCTGGAGTTGAAAGGGGCCCACACTCCTCTCCTCTGAACTGTCTCTTTCCTTGGGTATGGACTTGCTGTAAAAGTGTTAGGGCAGCAATCAAGGACCATTTTTAATTAAAAAAATCATATTTTCCCAGTTATATAAACAAGGCATACTTGTTGTAGAAATTTTGGAAAATATAGAAGAAAATAAAGAGGAAAAAAGTCCCCCTTAATTCCATCACTCAGACTGACTATTTTATATTGGCACATTTGAATCCAGTGTTAACTGAGGGTTAGTGTGCATATATGTTATGTATGAATACATATGCATGGACATGGACTCAGTTATATTACAAGACATGTTACATATTTTCGTGGACAAAGTCCCAGTGTGGGGGTTAGTGTGGGTGTTGGGGGGGCAGGTGTTAGTGTCAGGCCACCCTGAGTTTGAATCCCATCTTGGCCGTTACTCGCTGAGTGACCTGGGCAAGTGACTTCTCCAAGCAGCCATTTCTGTCACCCTCTGTAAAACGTGCTTACTGAGGGGACTCAGCCCAGGGCTGCTGGGCGGATACGGACACAATGTATGCAAAATGCTTTGTACAGGTCCCGGGACAGAGCATTTTCTCACTGATAATAAGTTACCATAGAAAGCTTCATCCGCCTTCCTGATTCGTAGCAGAAATCTCTAGAAATGGGATGAGTTTCTGGGTTCAAGGATAGGTAGAGCCTCAAAGTTGATACAGTTTGCCAAAATTGAGAGGATGATTTCACTAGGATCTCATGTCCTCTGCACCACAGCTGTCCTCATTTGTTTCTGTGTTCTTCCAGGCCCCGTTCATGCAGAACGGTTTTTAAACATTGTAATTATAATGCTCGCACTGGTTTGCTTAGTGTTACATTGTCAGCATTTCCTGGGTGGCTAAAGCTGTGGTTGGTATTGGCCATAAGTTGCTTAACTATTTCCTTATTGTTGAATATTTGAACAGTTTGATCTTTCTTTCTTTCTTCCTCCCTTCCTTCCTTTCTTTCTTTCTTTCTTTCTTTCTTTCTTTCTTTCTTTCTTTCTTTCTTTCTTTCTTTCTTTCTTTCTTTCTTTCTTTCTTTCGTCATTGCATGCCTACTCTCTGCCAGGCACTGAATGAGGCATTGGGATATGGGGTCACCAAGAAGAGTCCACTCCTTACTCCTGGCACTTGGACTCTGTCTGGCAAGACAGACCGTTATAAGTGAATGAACACAAGACCCTAACTATCAGCAGTGGGGAGTGCTGTGAAGGAAAAGGAGAGACCTTCTGGTGAGACCTACTTTCGAAACACTGGTGTTTTGGAGGCAGTCCTGGCCCCTGATTCTGACCTGCTGTGGCTCCTCAGCAGCTGTCACGGGAGCTTCTCCTTGGGGAGTCCCACATAGGGTTGCATTTTCCACTAACACGTTTCAGAGTTTCCTGAGAAGTCAGAGCACACCATGGCACTCAAATGGGCCCTGTTTCCTGTATATTCTTCCTCTATGGCTTGTGTCTCAACCAGTTCAGCCTGCTCCCTGCCTCCGTGGAGAGGCTGACAATTATCTCCCTAACTCTACCTGCACTGAGCCTTTTCCCCCACCCCCTTCCATATAGAAGCCCCACCAGCTCTGAGGGCCTTGGAACCAATCAGCAGAGGTGCCTGCTTCTGGCAGACAAAGCCTTGATGGGCAAGGCTTGGTGGGCAGAGCGCAAGTTGGATGTTCGCCCCATGAGGCCTTGTGGTTTACCTGCTTGACTATATATGGCAGCCCGGCCCATGGCCCCTGGAATAACCACCTCACCTACCTTCTGGCTACCCGATTCTTACCCCATCTTGAAGAGTCAGTTTATATTCTATCTCTTACGTGAAGTCTTATCTATCTTTCTGGTTCACAGTCAATCTTTATCCCTTGAATCCCTAAATAATTTTTAACTCTCTGCTTTCTTTGGCATTTAATTGTACACTGCCTTATGATTCCTCTTGTCTTGCTCTCTTGTACCATTATTTCATCTGAAAAGGTCTCATTTAGGTGGAGAGACCAGAGGTATCTCTATAGATGTGTTATTTATCAGGCAGGGGAAAGGACATATGCAAAGGCCCTGAGGCATAAATGTTTTAGATGTAAGCCAAAATGAAGCAGAAGATTTGACAAATGAAGTGGAAAACAACCTACTAAGTTCTGCATTCACACTACTTTGTGAAAGCATCCTTGTTCTAAGCCCTGGAAGTGGGGATATGGAGATTAACCAAACCAGACATACTCATTCCCAGAAAAACGGAGGAGGATGTGATGGTTCTGTGGAGACAGGCCATGGTGAGGGGGTTATGACGCATGTCAGTCAAAGGGTAGAGAGAGTAACTATTTCAGCCTGCGAGCACTGAAGGGAGCCCGTCCAAGGACACATCTGAGTGGGGTCCGACACGGGAGTTTCCTAGACAGAGACAGAAAGGGAGAGAAAGTCCAGACCTAGTGTTAAAAGGAAGGGGGCAGGGAGAGAAGAGTGATGTCAGGGGAAAGCAATCAGGAAGCGCCTCTCAGGAAAATTAATGTGCTTGGACTTCATCTGTAGATAGTGGGAAACTGGGGAGGCTTCTAAGCCGGAGAGCGGCAGGTGTGGCTCCAGTGTGGAGAGTCAACAGGGCTGTGGTGGAGTCTGGAGTTGGGGAGACCCATGAGGGTTGGGGGCAGTTGCCCAGGATAAAGGCCTGAATTGGGACAATGATTAGAAGAATGGATAAGAGAGGAAAGAGAGGAGAGACTTTTCCATGTAAAACCTGTAAGACTTGGGAAAGGATTGATTTCAGAAGGCGAGGGAGAGGGTGAGTCAGGACTTTGAGACTTTCAGTCTTAAAAGAGGGGAAGACTGAATGCAGGTGGGTAAGACCAGAGATGCTAGCAGGAGAGACAGGATTGGGGAGCCGGCCGGCGGAGAGCGATTGGGGGGCTGTGAGCGCTTCCCGCTGGTACCATGGACAGCTCCGAGGATCTGCTGAGGCTTTGGAACAGACCGTGCAGAGCAATGGTTTTTGACTGCGGCTGCCTTAAAATCAGCGGAGGATCTAATTTAACATGCAGACTTCCTGCCCCACCAGAGTTCTTCATCTCTGGAGCCCCTGGGGTTCCAAAGCCTGCGTTCTTAATAAGCACCCCAGGAAACCCAGGTGCAGGTGGCCAGTTGACTAAAACACTGAAATAAATCCCTTGGCTCCAGGGCGGTAGGCAAGAGCTCCCTCTGCTGCTAGAAAGGTTTGGGCTGCTGGAGTTGGGGACCCGAGCACTTAAGGCAGTTTATTCACACAGTGAAACCCTGGGCCAAAACAAAGAGAGAGGAGACCTGGGGGATGCGTGAGGGAGACGGGCCACCCGACTTGGTGCCTTTAGTGTTCCTTTCACCCTGCAGTGCAGAGTGTGGCCCCGTTCACCTGTGTGTAGTTACAGTCACTGCTTTCAGTCTGTAATTCCTCCTCAAGCTCATTCCCTAAATACCCACAAGTGGGTCCTTCTAGTGCAAGGAAGAGCCCTCCCCTTGGATCAGCTTAAAAACATATGACAACCCCCCAAAATTGAAAGCAGGGACCTGAAAAGGTATTTGTGGGCTTGGATTCACAGACACTTTCTTCACAATAGCCAACAGGTGGAAGCAACCCAAATGTCCTCTGATGGATGGAAGGAGACAATATGGTGGATAGACCCAATGGACATTATCGAACCTTAAAAGGAAAAGAGGTTCTGAGACATGCTACCACATGGGTCATGCAGAGACATTATGCTGGGTGAACTAAGCTAGTCACAGAAGGACAGATACTGTCTGATTCCACTTATGCGAGGTACTTGGAGGGGTCAAACTCACAGAGAGAGAAAGCAGAGCTGGGGGAGGGATAATAGGAGTTAGTGTTTAATGGGTGCAGGGGTGTCCAACCCACGGCCCACGGGATGCATGCGACTCAGGATGGCTATGAATGTGACCCGACACAAAATCGTAAATTTACTTTATGATTAACATTATGAGATGTTTTGCCCTGGCTGGTGTAGCTCAGTGGATTGAGCGTCGGCCTGTGAACCAGAGGATTGTGGTTCGATTCCTAGTCAGAGCACATGCCTGGGTTGCAGCCAGTTCCCAGCAGGGGACGCAGGAGAGGCAACCTTACATTGATGTTTCTCTCCCTCTCTCCTTCCCTTCCCCTCTAAAGATAAATAAACAAAATCTTTTTTAAAATTATAAGATGTTTTTGTGGTTATGTGTCACAATGTATTTAATGTGTGGCCCAAGACAATGCTTCTTCTTCCAGTGTGGCCCAGCGATGCCAAAGGGTTGGGTGCCCCTGGAGAGTGTCAATTTGAGAAGATGAAGTTCTGGAAAGGTTTGCTGGGTGATGGTAGTTGCACAGCATCGTGAATGCACTCAATGCCATTGAACTGTGCACCTAAAAATCGTTCAAATGGTAACTTTCATGGTGTTTATTACACCAACCAAACTGACATCATAAGAAAAGTTGCGGGTCACGACATCAACCTGGGAGGGAATCTGCAGGGATTCTCCAAGGCTTCCCCATTGCAGAGGGCGGTCTCTGAGAACCGGAGTAGGTTCTCCCCTTCAGGAGCAACAGGTGTCCCTGCAAACGCTACTCCCTGAGGGCCTGGACCACCATCAGACGGAGTTGCTTCCAGATGGTGGAGTTCCTTGGGATGGGCGAGGTTGTGCCTCCTCCTTCAGACTGGCAGCTATCCCAGCGAGTGGGTATGCAGGTGGGGAAGCGGACCTCTTGTCGAGTTCAGACTTGCAGAATCTCCAGCTTCTGCAAGTTCTACTCCTGGGCAGGAGGGCTCGCTGGCCAAGGGGGTATTTTGCCCTCTTCCAAGATGGCCACCGCCGCCTCTGTGACAGGCCTGATCACGTGAGAACGGCCGCCTATGAGGTCGCTGGGGATTGGACGTTGATTGTCCCTACCGGGGCCCCGTCCTAAGGCTACGAGGGCCGTGTCAACCAGAGTCTGAGCGATCATGGCAACGGGCTCCGGCGGGGAGCGCGTGGCAGCGGTGGCAGCGGTGGCAGTTTGGTCACGGACTGGGACAGAGGGCCGGCGGCGGCGGCGGTGGCAGTGGCCCTGGCACCGGCCCTGAGCGCCATGCAGCCGGGCGGCTCCGAGAGGGAGTTGGCGGTGGGGTGGGAGGCAGAGGCGGTGGCCGTGGCCGAACCTCAGGCGGTGGCGGCGGAGCAGGTCCGCGTGGACGCGGGGGCGTCCGGGGAGCCAGAGCGCAAGGCGAGGGAGGAGCCGGCCAAGGACCCGGTCCCGACGCAGCCCCGCGCGACCGAGGAGGGGGACGCCCGCGTTCTCCCGCGGCCGCCGCCCGCGCCGCCCGTGTCCAGGCCGAAGCCGGCGCCCGCACCGGGTTTCTGGCCGCAGGGGAAGCCCAGGAGCAAGGGCCAAAGTTGCAAGCGGAGCTCGAGCCGCCGGTCGGGCGAGTACCACTGTCTGCGGCCTGTCACCGTGGACAGCTCCAAGGCCAGGACGTCCCTGGACGCCCTGAAGATCAGCATTCGTCAGCTCCAGTGGAAGGAGGTGAGAGGCCCGGCCCCGCCGCGGGGCGCAGGGGGGTGGATAGGACGATCTCATCCTTGAGGAAATTCAGGGCCTAAGCTGCTCATCCCTCAAGGCCTAACCCCTCCAGTCACTTCCTCCGCCAGGCTTTCAGCCCCTCCAGACCGAGTAGCCACTCCTTCCTCTGGCAGTCCTACTGCGCAGCGGTCTCTGGTGCTCAGCACCTGCCTCTCCACACTGGAGACATTTGTTTATATGTCTGTCTGGTCCAGTAGCTCCAGTGAGTCCCGGAGGCCTAGGACCCTCTCTCTTCCACTTCCTCATTTCAGTTATATTTGTTGAGCACTTACTGTGCTACTCTTGGGCAGTGTAACAGTTTGTATGTTGGAGGCAGACAGACCTCGGATCTCACTGCTACTTAGCCATTGTCACCTTGAGCAAGTTGCTTCACCTCTTAAGCTTGTTTCCTCCTCTGTAAATTGAGGCCAGTGATACCTGTCTCGCAGTGTGGAAGTATCGGAAGACTCACTGCTTACTGTGGCACGGTGCAAGTGTGCAATAAATACTGCCCTCCCCTCTCTCTCCCTGCAACACCATTACAGTCACCACCACCACCACCACCACCATCACCAACAGCGTAGGCACTGTATTTCTATTCCAGGATTTGGCACATAGCAAAGTGTCAGTAAGTGGTGGATGACACGGTGAATGAAGGGATGGGTTATTTGTGCCTGAGCCTGTTATAGACCTGATGGGGACTGGGATGAAGCCCCAGTGACATCCAGGCGTGTCTGTTGCAGTTGGTTTAGTGGATTAAGCCTTTTGACTTTATTTGCAGCATCTAAGTCTGTTTAACTTGGTTCAGGTGTGTGTGAGAATTGCGACTTAGGGTAGTTGAGTCTGGAGATTCAGACCCAGATGGTTTGCTGATGGGTCGGGATGTGCCACAGGCAACAGGAGGACTCAGGTACTTAGTGTGGGCCTCAGTGTGGTAGATGTCCAGGGACAGTTTTGTGAAGCTGGGACTTGCAGAGATGGCCACAGAAACGATTGATGAGGTCAGAGGGTGGATGACCCAGCAGGAAGGAGTCATGTGATTTGGAGGAATGGCGAGATTCAGACAGGGCAGGCTTCTACCAGGTGGGTAGGGGTTAGCCATTGGGGAAGTTTGACTCCAGATGTCAGGGTCCTCAGCCTTGGGGTTTGGGATTCAGGGCAGGAATTTCAAGCCTAGGACACCTGGAGGAGGTGAGGGAGGACTCTGGATTCTGGACAGGGTCCCAGGTCCAGGCCAGAGATGGGACGACCAGAACAAGATAAAATCAGAGAACTCGTCAGCGCCATAGTTCTAATGAAGAGACAACCAGGTACTGAAACCAGGCCACCACAGAGTCAGGCGAGGCTACTTGGCCTATGCAGGACCTGTGCTTAGCTTAGCTCCGTGGGAGAGAGAGACACGAAGCTGGCTAAGATTGTGAGAGGTGGTGCCAGATGCACTCAGAAATCAGCAGGCATGCTGGCCCAGGTCTGTCCACTCCCTCTGTACGGTTCATGGTGGATGCTGGGCCCCGAGGACCAAAGATGTTTAAGATGTAAGGTACCCTTTCCCTGCAGGACCTTCTAGTTCAGAAAGGGATAAAACACAAGTGAACAAACCGCGGCAGTGATTACAGGCCTTGGCTGCTGCTTCCTGAATGCCCCTCCCCCAGTTAGGTGTATGTCTGACTCTGTCACTTAAGATCTCTGACCAAGTGCCACTTCCTCAGACAGGCCTCCCTGTTGGTCCCTCTGTTGGCCTGTGCTCGTCTTTATTTTTTCCCCATGCCACTAAACTGCCTGATACTGTGTTATGTATTGTATTGTCTGGTTCCCTCATTAGAATGTAAGCTCCATGAGGGCAGGGGCTTTGTTTTGTTTACGTCTCTACCTTCAGGTGCTTAGCACATAGAAGGTGCTGAATAAATTGTTGTCAAATGAATGAATACATCATGTGATGAGTGTTTCTCTCTCTTTATGTAGAGCTGCGTGTGTTGTGGGAGGTGGAGGAGGGCCAGCTTGGGAGGGCTTCCTGGAGGAGAGAGACCTGAGCTGAGTTCTGAGTGCCAAAAAGAAGTAGGCATTATTTAAGGGCTGTTGACTTACGGTCCCTGGCAGAGGGAGTAATCTGGGCAAAGCAGAGGTGCATTCAGGGTTCGCTATGGCTGTACCATTGAGCAGGTGGTAGAGTGATGAGAGATGAGGCTGGAGAAATGGCAGGGGCCAGATCCGGTGCCGTGCTGTGGGATTTGCTCCGTTTGGGGAAGGCTGTTTGAGCCACTGCAGAATTGTAAGTTTCTTCCATTTATTGGCTGTGCTGTCTCGGCAAGTATGTGAAACTTTTGGGGCCTTGGTTTGCCTACCAGTGAAATGGGGTGGGTTGAGCAGTTTCAGTGGTTCCCAGCCTCTCTACTGCTGCAGCCTCATAATGGTGACGTTATTCTACATGAGACCCTTGCACTGGTGATCCCAGGGGGGTGGGCACTTTCCAGGGCACTATCTGTCACCACCCACCCCGACCCGAGCTCTGCCTTTTTCTCTGGCTCAGAAAGCATATTGGTGTAAGTAGAGATGCTCATTCTAGCGTATTTTACACTATAACTCACAGTGGGAAGACTTTACTACTAGATGTGTGATTATTAATGCCGCTCTCTCCTATCAGTCAGTGGGGTCCTATGGGTGGGGGTGGCGTCCACTTATGTCCCTGGCACACTGAACGAGTTCAGTAAATGCTCACCCAAGAATTGGATGAAATACTTGCAACAGAGCTCACATCTCATCCCAACACCCTAGAATGGCATTTGAGAAGTGCCAGACTAGGCAAATTTTAAAGTTCCCTCCAGCGTTAAACTAAGATCATGGAATTCTTAGTACCTGTGACAAAGTTAACTTCGTGACAAGTAAACTGGCTCCTAGCATAGCACAAACCACAGCCCCTTGGCTCCGTTCGGTGCAGGGGTGGTGCTGGACAAGTTCGTCTCCCGTGCGCAGCACCGGCATTCTGGGAGCAGGAACATCCGCCGGGCGCTGCGGTGCAAGGGACTCAGCCAGTGCCCCTTGCCTGTCACACTGTGCTCCTGTTGCAGGACTTGCAAGTGCCCAGCTGGCTAGCTTTGGCAGGGGTAGGTGGGTGGCCCAGGCAAGAAATAAGGGCATGAGTGTCAACCAGGGTGAAAGTCTGTGCCTGCTTTTCTGAGTGCACAGCGAGGGGCTGCATGACACTGTCCGCTTAGCGGGGCGGCACGCGGCCAGCACAGGGAGTCGGACATTTGCTTGACGACAGGGCAGTCTCCCTCCCTCCTTTCCTTTTCTTTATTCCCATACATTTGACAACAGCAGCTGTAATGAACCCTTCCACAGCTCTTACCCTGCGTCGGACACTCACTCTTCTGAGTGTTTTACATGCACGCCACCTCCCAGTACCGTAACCAGTGCCCGATTGTCTCCATTTTACAGAGGAGGACATCAAAGGGCACAGAGGTTAACTTAGCCAAGGTCGCCCAGCTGGCAAGTGGCAGAGCCAGCATCTGACACAGGTATTTCATTTGAAACCAGGTGTCAGTTCTGTCTCTTCCACTGCTCCCTGCGGGGTGTCTGCCTGCAGACCTGGCTCGGGGGTGGCAGGTGTCAAGGGACAGACATGCCCACAGACTGACAGTCTGGTCTGGGAGCTGGGTGGGAAGAGGGCACTGCATACGGAGTAGGAACAGAGGCAGGGAGTGTGGATTAGGTTTTATATGCAGGATGGGGTGAGGGCAGCTTAGGGACCCTGAGCGGGAGTGGACAGAGGGGGAGAAGGAGCCAGATCACAGAGGACAGTCAAGGCCATGCTAAGAAGCTTTCTCATCTGTCTGGATAGGACCACAGGTTCTCGCCACATGAGGCCCCAGCTCTCCTTCCCACTCTTGGTCAGTCCCAGGCGACCCACGCCAACCACCAACTCCCTGTTCAGTCGCACCCACTCTGTGCAGGTCTAATCCAACTGTGTCCACACTCTTAAAATTTGTTTCAAAGGGAAAAAGTCAAACATTAGCTTGGTAAACTTGCAATCAGAAGAGTTTATTCTAGAATAGGCAACCCATGTGCACAGGGCCACCGCTGCAGTTACAGCATGAAAGAGAGGGCTGGTTGCCGGCTCAGTAAATATTTGCAGGATTGTATTGTCTGCTTCCAATCACATGAGCCTCTCTCCTCCTCTCCCGTCTATTCTTCTGCAGTTTGACACTCTCATTAGAGAAGAGCTTAGGGAAAAGATGCCTTGGGGAGCAGAGGCCACTGTTGCTGCGAGCTGCCCTCCCTGGAGATGCACAGTGGCGCCATGGACACCAGCCGCCGCGGATGAGGCATTTGAGAGAGGGACCTTTGTTGGCGATAGTTTGCGTAAGCCCCTGGCCCGAGGTCTCTTACTGTGCGAGCTCTTTGTTTCAGAGACTGCAGATGATGAGAACAGGGGTCGTGGTTCTCTGTTGCAGCTGGACGGGCATCTCTCCTGCGTCACACCACGGGGCGCCTGGCCTTAACAGCGGCCTTGACTGCCATTTGTGCGACCAGTTGTTTGCCAGGGTGTGTTCGAACCATCGTCTAGTCTTTATAAATGCCTCATACGTCCTTCACAGGCCTTTCTGACGGTGCCTTCTCCTCACCCACCCGCTTCTGCGCCATCCCAGTGAAGCCTTCTCTTCCTCGATGGAGCTAGACTAGTAGGGCAGCTCGACTGCGGTGACGTCACCCTGGGCGTCGGGTTGCGGCTCCAGGAATTCGTTTACTCCCTCTGCCCCGCTCTCACGGAGGCCTGGCTTTTGAAGTTGCTCTTTGTGCTGGTCCGGACACTATTTCTCCTGGTGTCAGAACTGTGGCTTACTGGAATTTTAAAAAGCAACAGTGGAAAACATTCTAGACACCTTAGATTATTTACAAATGTCTTTGTTCAGTTTCTCAAAACCGTATGTGCACGTAGAAAGACAGTTCCCAAGAATAGGAAATAA